ACATCTTATAATTATATGTAATTTTGTTTAATTACGTGGTTTTCTCATTGATTTAGTATTTATTTTTTTCCAAATTTAATATATAATTAATTGGGTTAAAAAAATGAATATTATATAGTATGAAAATTTTAAATATTATATTATATTATATTAAAATTTAGAATATAGTTTTTGAGTTCGATGAGACTTTAGTTATGTTAACAAGATTGAGTCAGGATTTTTTTTCTGAGTGTAGAGTCATTATAATCTTGAACGTTAATATTTGTGTTTGATTAAATATACATATTTTTGTGTAATTATATTTTGAAACTTCAATTTTTTTTAGGAATTTATGTTTAAAATAATATATATTGGCAATAGAAGAATGAAGAGTGAACATCTCCAAATTGATGGATGATGGTGAGAAACGAAAGGGGCCCTCAAAATAATATCAAAGGTTTGAGTCACATGTGTGACGTTTAGATACAATTGTTTGTCCTATTCTTCATCCGGGTCCACAAAATGGTAATCATGTGTTTATAAGATGACACGTGGATCTTATAGCCTTTGAATGAGGGGTTGCCGTTAATTTCCCCATTTTATTATTGGAATTCAAGTTTTATGGCAACTTAGTTGATTAAGGTTGACATTTTAACATTATTTATTAGATCACTTTCGATGTTTGTAGTATGTATGATAAATATTAGGACTAAGGGTCACCTTTGCTCCTACAGTAGACATATTTTATTATTTTCACCCCTATTGTATTTTCGTATCAATTTAGCCCTCAAATTCTTTTAATGACATCATTTTATACCTTTTCCCTAACTTAAAACTCAAATTTATAAACCCTAAGTTAGTGTTTAAGGTTCAAGGTTTATAGTTTATAGGTAATAGGGTTATGATATAGGGTTTATGTTTCATAATTTAGGGTTTTAAGTTAAGAGTATGGTATATAGAATGATGCAATTGACCAACTTTGAAGGCTAAATTGATGCAAAAATAACATAAGAGCGAAAGTGATAAATTGAGTCTACTACAAGGACAAATGTTACCATTTTACCTAAATATTAATACTTCCATTAAAAAAAATGGAAGGGTTTTTAACAAAATCTTGAGAGGCGTTAGGTTCGCGAGAAAGATCATTACTAAGCATGGACAAAACCAAGGATAGGGTAAAATGGTGGGAAAGATCATTAGCTATAGTCACATGTGTTCTCATGTTTGGTTCAAGTAAAAGATCATTACCAAATAATAACTTATTACCAATAGTAACACTTTTGGGTTAAAATGGTGGGAATGTCATTACCTCCAAATTCTTAGGTAATGAACAATTCTCACCACTTTGGACATAAATACCCTTGAAATAATAATTTTTTTCATGTAGATCTTTCTCAATTCTTATTCTTCGTGCTTTACTCAAAATTATAAACTTAATAATAATAATAATAATATACAATGAGTTTAATTTAGTAAAATATTGATAAATTTATGTAGTTAAAATTATTTTATATTTTTAATATTTAGTATATTAATTATTTTATAATTTTATGAGGTGAAAATATTATGTTGAACCATGTTTTATAATATTTTGATATAACAAATTAAGACAAAATGTTTTTGGACTTGATTGAATTTGTTCAAAGTTTTCAAAAATAATTCAAAGTCCATTAAACTAGAATTTGAGCACAAAACAGTTTTTCTAGGTACGTAGTACCGATACTGTTCTTACAGTATCGATATCAATATTGTTCATGTGTTATCGATATCAAACGTAAGAGAAGTATCGATACTCTCTAGGTAGCATCGATACTACCAGTTGTTTTCCAAATTGCTCAAATTTCAGAATGCAAAATAGGTATCGATACTTAAGGGGTACCGATTAAACTTTACACAGTGATATCGATACCATGAAGCATAATATAGATATTGGTCAAACCCAACGGTCTTCAACGGCTAATTTATTTAAATATTATAAAGGTAGTACCGATACTCATGAAAGGAGTATCGATACTCCCTATTTTGAACAGTTTTCTTTTGTGGAAAATTAATCCCCAACGGCTCCAAAACATCTCCAACTACTAAAAACGACCACAAACTCATTTCAACATATAAAAACAAGTTATACACTTGAAGAAGGTTGGACAACACCTATCCAAGCAATAGAGATCAAAAGAAAAACTCTTCCACTCTTTGTAAATCTTTCTATTATTTTCTTGTGAGCTTAATTTTTGTAAACATCTTCCTTTAAGAGGTTTTCTTGTTTAAATCTTTCAACCTTTGTAAAAAAATATTGGTTCTAGCTTATCCTTTGAAAAGCTAGGGAGTTATAAAGATTATCTCTTTGTCTTGGAAAAAGAAAGAACAAATTAGTGAATTTGTTAGAAAATATTAAGTGAGGAGCTTATGTAATGGATGTAGACTTGGTTGAGAAGTTGAACCACTATAAATCCTTGTGCAAATTGTTTCATCTTTATACTCCTTACTTCTTAAACTCAAAAAGTCAATTTCCCCCTCTTGGCAAAATATTCGGTTGTTCATGTGAGCTTCATCAATCCTAACAATTAGTATCAGAGCTTGACTCATTAGAAGTTCTAAAAACCTTGAGATAATCCTTGAGGAAGCTCTATCCATTTTCGATACAACCGATAAGATGACTTCCACCTCCGGCTCGTTCCACATGGAAAACTCCCAACTGATCGACAAGCCTCTATACTTCACTGGAGCTAACTATCATCATTGGAAGAAATTAATGAAGGTATTCATCCAATCCAATGATCTTGATGCATGAGAGATGATTGAGAACGACTACTCTTCTCCAAAAAAGAAGGTGAATGAGTGAAGTACCCAAGAACGGAAGAAAACTCAACAAAATGATAAGGTCATGCACATGTTATTTTGTGTATTTGGTCTCAATGTTTATGAAGAAGTTTCTTCTTCTTCAAATGTCAATGAGATTTGGAATAAGCTCGAAGAAATTCATGGAAACAAGAAAGAAGAACAAACAAAGGCGGTGTGCTTAATGACTCTTGAAGAGCCCAAGGTATCTTCTAACTCTAACGAATTCGATTCATATTCTTTTGATGAGTTACAAGATACATATGATGAATTGTATTTGGAATTTGAGACCATGAATTTCAAATATAGGAAATTGATTTCAAAATTCAAAGTTGAAAATGATTTTCTTTTGAAAGCAAAGTTAGATGCCAACATCATTTTCCAAGCTTGGCATCCATAATGATTTTTAAATTAAATAAAATATCGAATTCAAAATTTTCAATTTTCAAATATAGGGTAATCGACTATGTACCAATTTCTGAGTACTGTGGAGGTGCTAATCATTCCCTACGCATCACCGACTCTCAAACCCGATTTTTGTTTTCGCATACTAAAATTTGGTTTTTTTATCAAATAAAATGTTTTATTAAAACTACCAGACTTTAGGTTTTCCAATCGCACCTTAAAAATGATTGGTGACGACACCCAACATTTCATAAAAATCTTTTAAAAAACACATCGTTGTAACTAGTCAGCTTTTTCCCTGAAGGACTGGTTGCGACAGCTTCGCGACTCTACTTGGGATATTTCATTTTCTAAAATAAATAAAGAGTCAAGCTACGAGTTGATTACCCTATATTTGAAATTTGAAAATTTTGAGTTCAAATTTATTTAATTTACAATTCATTATGTTCTTTTAAAAAAATTGAAAAATATTTTCTTTCTAGTTTATGTTTTCACTAGTTTATGTTTTCACTTGATTGAATATATTTAGAATTGTTGCATATCATAGCTCTAAATCCGAGTTTCGTCCTGTTTCACTTAAGTAGGGGAAAACGCCACACCACAAATGAACTTAGTTCTTCATCGTGTAGGTTTGGCAAAGTACCTCTAGAAAGCATTCTAAGTGTCTGATCGGATATTAGTTCTATGACATATATTTAGTGATGTGATCCCTAAACTGAATTCGATTTGTAAAATCTGTAGTGGGCCAAAATCAAAGTCTTTATTAACCTTAGCAGGTTGTAAGGACAATTTGGGAAGCTTTTTAGAACTGAACTTCATATAGATAATTTAGTAAGCCCACTCCACTAGAGCCATGTGGAAACCTTAAGAGAAGTAGAACGCATGTGTAGACTAATATTTTGATATAACAAATAATGACAAAATGTTTTTGGACTAAATTGAATTTATTTAAAATTTTCATAAAAATAATTCAAAGTCTAATCAATGTTAATATAACAAATAAGGGCAAAATATTTTTGGACTAAATTGAATTTATTCAAAGTCTTCATCAAAATAATTCAAAGTCCAATCAAAACCTTAAAATGAGTATTTTGACTAGAAGTTTCGGAACTTTCCAAGACAGTTTCTTGAAAAGTCTCGATACTTTCCAATAGTTTCGAAACTATCTCAAGAGTTTCGAAACTTTCATTAAAGTTTCGATACTTTGGGTCCAACGGTCATATTTTTCCAGCGGCTCTTTCGAAGATATTCACTAGGAAAAAATAAAGAATTAATATGAACTTTTAATTTTTCTTAATCCAACTATCCTAAAAATAATTTGAAATAAATCTCACAATAATTGAAGGAAGTGTTAGAACCAACAGTTTCTACCTAAAAGTAGTCATATAATCTTGATGATTGCTATCAAGTATTGTAGCAAAGATCATAGTTCAAAAAATAATTTACTAAACCTTAAATAAGCAATTTTTTAACTCCATTATTCAAGCAATTGTAACGTTTTAACATAATTTATGGTACCAGAAATAAGAAATAAAAAAACTATATTATGGAGAGAAGTGCAGGAGATTTCCTTTTGCTTTATTTCAATTCAAGAAGAGCATCCCATTACATTGAAGTTAAAAGAAATCCATAAACTACAAAGATCACTGTTACTTGCAGAATATAATACAGTTCTTGTTAAAAAAAAGGGTTTGGGGTCCTATCACGAAGCAACCACATATTGCTTCAACAATCGGACTACACACAGGCATCCGTCATTAGCATCCCACCCACAAGAGTGGTTTTGTTCCTCACTCACAAGAGTTGACAACACGAGATCCTGGACGAAACCGGCTCTCCCCCTGGCCCGCCGAATCCTTTTTTCGCGTTCCTCGTTGCTCAAAGAGGGGTCAAAACTCCATGACATAAATAGATACGAGATGCCAGTTTAGAATTATATTGGAAGGTTTCTGTATATGATTGATACATGATGAGGTTCTTCATTTGAACCGCATTGCAGTCTCTCTAAACAATGATCAGACCTAACATTATTGAATATGTTCTACTTACCTCGATTTCCACATATGAGTCGGTGTGAAATTTTTGGCAGCAATGTCTTCGGTGCTATTTACAACCGATTTAGTAAGCTCTTCGGCTTCAGATGCAGGGAAGTTCAAAATGAGTGAAGAAAGGAGCGAATCATTAGCTGTGTTCGACAAGTTAGTACTGCTTGACCTATATGCACTGCCCCCACTGCCCCCTAGAAGTACTTGCAAATGAGCTTCACGGAGATCCCGACCCAAGAGAGACAGTGCCTGGCTGTTGGGAATCGCAACTCTACGTAACTTGCGACGTCTCTGCAAGTGATCTTTTGTTAAGGGAAACCGTCCTAACAATTCAACTTCTCTGAGTAAATACATAATCTAAGAAACTGTACAAAGTTCGATTATCAAGGATATCTTGAATAAATGTCCGTGTTGCAGCATGATATGACTTAGCATGTCTCTTGATACTTTCTTGGAACAAACTGGACAAATCTGCAACAGAAAGGTTAATGCAGTATAAGACTTTTCATAATAAAAATGTCATCGGAACTTTTTTTCCACCGTGAACCCCGAGTAAACAATAAGAACTACAAACAAGATTTACTAAAGCTCTGTTATGAGACTTGCATGAGATGCTAGTCGTTAAAAGTCTTTCCAAGGTTGTGACTTGTAACCGGTCTCCACTAGAGATTGAGAGTAGGTGGGATTTATAGGAAAAGTAAGGAAAATCTCCGATCATCTGAGCTGAAATATAAGGTCAAGGCTAGCTATTTATTCTTTTGTACCTAGGAAATCATTAGCCATCCAATCCTCCACCACTGCCAATAGCATATACTAAATGCTCGTTCGAAAGCATAACATTCTCTACCCGTCAAGCTTATTTTCGTCTCCATTGATGTCCACTTTCAAAGTTTATCTGTTCAATGTAGCATTCAAGAAGAGCATGAACATAAAACAGCCCATCCCGCTCAATCCTCCATATCCGGTCACAGTTAAATGTTCCAACATAAGTTTCCGCAGTCTAAATGACCAAATTTTTTTACCAAAAGCCTCAAATTCTATCTGCAAAGGCAGATGCCATATTAACATACCACCTAAATTGAGTGTTTCAGTTTTGTTTCTTCCCCGCCCCATAAAAAAGCTGGGTAAATATGAACACATCCTAAGGTTTTGTTTCATAAAGAAAGGATCTCGACCGATTGACATCGCTTCGATCTAGTTGTTAATAATCAACGATACCATCGTCAGTCACCGAAACTATAACCTTGTACATTCCCGGTTCCCTCACTTAGATTATCAATAAAAAATACCCAAAAATAAAACTTAAATTATATGAGAATTTGAAATTTTGGATGACGACCGCACTCACCAACATCCCTAGGTCCATCCCTGCTCTCAATCTCAACCATCCTTCAATTCAGGCACCTTTCCCCCACAATTTAACCCAAGAAAACTAGATAAATGGTGGTCTAATCGTCACTTTTTAATCATATTCAAGGGGGGGGGGGGGACAATGAAGCTTGCTCAGATATATTGAAATTTGCTTACCGCAACTTTTGATTCGCAAGGATGCTCATCTTCGAGATGCGAGCACAAAGACACGATATCGAAATCTTCGTAACAGTAGGGACATGTGAAATCTGGTCGTACCTCGTTCTCAACCTCGAAGTCAGCGATGTTCAAACGATCTTTGTTCATCGTTTATAAAACAGAAACAACAACATCATAAAAAAATGAGATAAAAAAAGGAAAACAAAAAGAACCCAAATCAAAGATTGAAAAATGAAATATTAAAAACGAACCCAAAGGAGAGCTTTGATTTTGCTGCTGCAAATTGTATTGGCGTTTAGCAGCTGCAAGACGATATGTCCAGAAATCGGAATCCATTGAAAGACCAAAGCTTGGATTCTTAAGACAAAGAATCTGTTGAAGTTTGGATTTTTTTTCCTTTTCCTCTTGAATATATATGTTTCCGAGTTTTCTTTGACTTTAACTTGAGATACCTTTGGCTTCGTTGATCTCAACGAGCTTTCCAGGAGAGAGAGAGAGAGAGAGAGAGAGGGATTGTTTTGTTGATAATTGATGACGCTTGGTTTTATGCTTAAATATTTTCACTATATTTTAGGTGTTTTGTGTGGTGTTGTAATAACTTTCAACTTAGATATATGTTTAAAGTTATTATCTATAAAATATTAGAAAATATTAAATCTTTTTGAATTGTTAAATCTAATAAATAATAACCACAAAAATTTTGATCAATCTTATATCGTGCAAGATTTGTTAAAAAAACATTTTAATTTTTAGAGAATTTGTAATGATTGTATTAGTAAATTCTAAAATAATTTTTAAATATTTTTACATTTATGTAAATTGATAAAATTGACATCGACAGAGGTGAAAGGACAAAATAGTTAGTGTCAATTTAACATATCCTTTTTTTTCATCAGTTGAATATCCTCTTTGTTGCAAGTTACTCTACAATGATAAATATAATATGTGAGTTTATACACTACGAGTGATATGAAAATGAAACCTCTTGGAAGTGATAAAGGCTATATCAATTACATTCTAAATGCCAAACTCAACAAGATTAATTATGCATATATCTGTAATTTATAACCGTTTAACCTCTAGACCATAATTTTCAAATAAAAAATCCAATGTCTAAAAAGGTAATTATAAATTTTCAAAACAACCTAATATTTATTATTTTAAATATATCCAATAATGAAATTACATGATAAGATTTGAATGGGTTGAAATAAACTTTCCATTCTCAAGAAAGAAGGAAAAATGCATATGAAAAGGAAAGGGTACCTCAATGGGATTTCTCAATGATCATCCCCTGAAGCTGTGCCAATCCTTTTGCATCGATTGCATTCGAAGTCTGCTTCTACTCGGCCATCACGGCCGTAAAGGAAGTGGCCGAGCTGCCAACCTTTGAAGCTGCAACTTCAAATGAAAACCTTGATGCAACTCCAACGTAACATACTAATCACTCCCTTCCAGAGTTGTGAACTCCTAGCCATCATCATCCGCTACTTCATCCGATGCATCACTGATCTCCAAATCTCCATCTAAATCTTCTCTGTCTTCTTGCAGTTTAATGCCATTATCATCTTCATATGCATCGTCATCTTCATCAGAAGCTTCCATTGATCCTCCATTCCAGTCGTTACAAGCACCATTAAGATCCTGCTCACAGTTTCCTTGCTCATAGCCATCACCTTGGGCATTATCATCCGACTCCTCTTCCATGCTGTTACTATCAGGAGGATTTACCACTTGCATCATTTTGAATCTTTCAGCTCTCCAATCTTCATCCAAGTCTCTTGCAACAGATACATTACTGGCCTTAGGTTTAATCACACCACTCGTAGAAGCCACCATTGTATTACCAGAAGCTCTCCTTTCTGTTCTCTTTCCAACTGTTCGGCAACGATTTACAGAATTCTTACCAAGTCTTTGGTCGTGTTGTTTCAGGTGGGGATTCAAAGTATTCTTTTCTCTAGTACTTTGCTTGCTAGTAAGATGTTTGGAATTAGAGGCTCTCCTCTTCGACTTTTTACCAGATCCTTGTCCACGACCCCCTCTTCCCCGCTTATATTTGTTGCGCTTACTGTTACTCAGGTCAGCAAAGTTTTCTTCTCTCATAGGCTCATCTTGGTCCAGTTCTTTCGATACAGGCCCTTTGTTCTTGATGAAAAGAGAGGTTCTTGAAGGAAGCTTCTACATATTTGACAAAATTAGTTAGCTTACATTTCAAAAATTAAATGACAGTCAAATAAATTGCAAACACATGGTAAACGACTGGAGAAAAATAGGTGGCTACTGAGATTCTAGGCAAATTCACAGAATGCCAACATCTGGAAATACCAACATTTAAATGTTTATCCAGTCTACTAATAGAAAATATCAAAATTATACCCACTTGCTAAGGAGGGGAATAAAAGGCATTAACTCACTATATATGTTCTAGCTTCCTTGTTCTCAGTTGGTTCAACTTTCTCCTGCTTTATATACATGATGGATGCATCAAGCGCCAGAAGCCTTAAAGCTACAGCTGCAGTAGTTTGGGGTATCCATGGGAGGATAGAATCGGTAAAATCACTCTCTGACTCAAGATTAGAACCCAATAATTCCCTTGTTGTCTCAAAGAAAGGTGATAAATGATCTTGCTTTATGGCATTCTCAAGGTGAGTCAATATCTGCAACACCAATATGACATTTGTGTGAGACCAATATAAGAACTATATATTTAATCATTTAATAGGGGGCAACATCAGTGGTTAATAACTAAGCTCTCATAGTATTAGGCACATACGAAAAGGCTATAGCTTCTTTTAGAAGAGAACATCAGCAAAATAAAAACGCATAAAATGAGAAACATGAGCAAAGAATGTGACAAATTGGTTAGGTAAATGTTACAAACTAGGCTAAATGCTCGAGTTAGGGTTCTGTATTTGCACAAATTTTCATTTGAGATATACTATATTCCTAGATCTATATGGAATATTAACTTCTTGGATTTGTCTAGTGAAACTAGCAAGTCATTAGTCCCATTAACAACAACCAATAACATCTATGCCAAATTTCCTTTGATAGACAAATCTAATAAACTAAAGGTCCCGAAGTGTTCAAAATAATAGGTTAAATCTTCAAATGAAAATTAGTGCAAACATCATATACTAATTTGGGCACATATCCCTAATAAAAATGATGATTACCTTCAGGATTTCATCCACAGAAGAAGAAGCATTCAGTTTCATGCCCCAAATCTTTCGATGGCCTTCAGTCCAAATTGATTCAAGGGCTTCTGGCGGAACAGATACCTGCCAAGAGAAGTTTTGAAACAAAATGACATGATAAGACCAAAACCTCAAATTTATATAGAGAAGTCATCATTGGGATGTTGCTAGCTCACCTCAACTATAGCACACAAGGACTTGAGCAAGCTAATTCCAGAGGGAATAGAGGAATCAAGAGTACAAGTATACTCGTTGCCTAACTTCTTGGTTTCATTGCACTTACGTTCCGGGAAATTAGAACTCTTGATAATGGAGCCAAAAGTCTGGTGACAGTGAAAACAGTGCATCTCCTCTGGGACATCACAAACAACAAACAGCTGCACACTTCTTTTCTTCCCATATTTCATGGCACACAAAGTTGAGCAATTAAAACATTCTTTCCACATCCACCTCTGGAAATCCTGGTATCTATTCAAGGCTGACTTCATCTCATTTTCGTTTGTTCCAAGCTGAACTTTGAAAGAAGATAATGCCTCTGACGCATCAGAGTTCAACCCACAGATAGCATCACTAGCATTGTCAAAACTGGCAGGAAAGTCAGGACTGTAATCTATTTCAGAAGCCTCATTCTCAGTGGAGTTTCCACTTCGGTTAATAGCTGCTACACACCGTAAGTTCCTGCAAACATTTTCTTTGAAGGAAGTTTCAATTTTTTGCAACATAATCTTTAACTGGGATTCTCTGATTCCTCGTGCATCCAAAGTTGACAAGAGAGCATCAAAGGCCTACAGAGAAATTGATTGGATACATAAGAAATTGTTTGACTCGTACTAATAATTCATACCAATATATATAAAAACAGTTCCCTTTCTATGTATTTAAAGCATACCTCTTCAGAATCAATCACCCTCCAAACTCCCCCATGTAATTCAACAAATATCCGGCCAGCACAAGGATCATTTTTAGATGCAGAAGCAACAAACTGCCAGTATCTATTACATCTACGATCTAAGCCAAGAGGCAAAGACCTGTATGCATAAATCTCTTCTGCTCTGTGGGAAATGTATGATTTAAACTGTGAGCGTGATCTTTTCAAAGCATAACCGTGCTGCTGAGCAGAAAAGCCATCTGTGCCCATTGAAGCCTCTTGAAGTACCAAAGTCCTTTCCGCAGGATACCTATTGAGGCCATTCAGAAAATTTTGAGAACATAGCAAGGGCTTTTGGTCTTCTGGATTGCTTGGAGATAACTCATCATGTTTATTATCAGCAGGAGGAAATTGTCTTTGACTGCCCTCCATAAGATAATTAGGCAAATGAGCTTCGGCCTTCATTCCTATCACAGATGAAAAATCCACTTTAGTAATGGTTTCTTCCTTCACAAGGCTTCTATCTAGCTGAGCCTCAGACCACATTTGCTTTTTAAGAGCATTCACTGCTTCCAAACGATCCTGTAATTAATAAATCAAATTTAGAGCAAGGAAAATGGCAAGTGCCTCTACGATCAAAGCAACATCACAATCAGATTAAACTGTAGTTAAAGATCTACCTCAAGGGCAGTGCGGATAGAGTTCCCTTCATTTGCAATACCAATTAAAGCAACAAGGGCATTAAGGCGCTCCTCAACACTAAGATGAGAATATTCACCTTCTGAAAGACCTTGAATCCATGACTCACCAAACTTGCTTTCATCAATTTCAATATTCTGTTGATCGGGATCGCCTTTTCCATTCTCCTCACCAATAACACAATATGCAGTATTACTGGTACCATTGGCATCCTTCATGCTATTTGAAGGGAAAGATAGAAGATCCTTATCAAATTTACCGGGAACATTTACTGCACCATCTAATGAAGTATGGACTTTTTCACTTCCTGAACAAATGTTTACTTCATCCTTATGATAGTCAGCATCTTTGTTAGCATTTGAGGTAGTAGCAATATCAACTTCAGGATCCTCATCAACATCACCTTCAGAGTCTTCATCTCTTTCAACCTCCTCTTTTTCAACTTCATCAGCATCTTCTCCACCTAAAAGCGCACTATAAAATTGTTGAATTTTCTTCCTTGCAGCTGCAAATATGGCCTCGGCATCAGTAGGATCTTTCCTATATGCAGGTCTTAGACAATAAGTTGAAGGCGCTGTTCTTTCAAAAAGCTTTGCATCCCTCGTCAAAGCAACCGAAATACAAGCTTCAGGTCTTTTGCTAGTTGTCAGGTCCCGAAGTCCAGATTTCTTGTAGAAAACATGTAATTAGGAACAAGCGTGTAAATCATAAAACCCAATTTGACACCTTAAGGAACACAATCCAAACTCACCTGAATCTTATCTGCAAGTTCAAAAACTGTTAATCCTTTGCTTCCCTCAAGTGAAAGAACATGAAAAGCTGCAAATTTGACAGTTCCAGGTGTCAAACGATGTCTTGATTTTCTTGGAAGTAACAGACCTTTTTTTCGCATCAATGCAAAAGCATTCTCAGCTGCTGCACCATTGCGTAGAGTAGAAACTACATCTTCACAACCTTTGCTCTCCAGGTCCTGATGCAATAATAAACTCGGACAATAAGCCAATATCCATATGTGTAAAGTTTTTATACACATATATACAAGCATACAAGCACATAAATAAAATACACACATACACGCAAACATGCATGCTGAATATGTTATAGTAGAAAGAGATTATTAAACCTGATGATTATCACCCGTGTATGTCCATGTAGCACTTCGTTTCTTCAACTGTGGTCCAAAGCCTGCAGATATTGCTAATTGCCGGAAAATTTCAGGCCATGTCACTGGGTTCAAGTGATGCTGCCAACTGCGGATGTCAAAACCCCAGGAATATGCCTAGCATATTCCAAATGTGAAATGGCTCAGCAACAATAAAACTAAACACCATGACAAATCTTTAACACCACTTACCCCTTCAACAATCTGAGGGTGTCCACCTTCAAGATGGGAAGAACTGTACTGATTCATCCCTAATCCAGTCACAATTATTCTTGCAACATCCTCAATATCTTTTATTATTGATTTCAGAAGAGCAACATGAATCTCACCCAACAATCTTGACTCCTGATATCAAAATGGTAAGAATATCAAAATAGTGAGCGAAATAAAAAAAAACCTAGAGATCAAAATATTGCATTTGAAACTTACATAGTCATGAAATGCTTGCACAAACTCATCAAGGGTAAATGGCCATAGTCTAAGAACATCAGCAAAGGTAATAAAAAATCTCCATGCCTGATAACAGAAACCATAGCACAGAAGTAGTACCTTTCAAACTTAGAATATGTATAATTATACCTTAAACCATTTATGAAACAAACTGCAAAATATGAAGTGCATAAGAAAGAACATTAGGGTTGTAACTTAAAGCAGATGAAAACTGATAAGTATGTCTTACCATGAGAAGATTCCCAACATTCTCCTCTGAATCAATCCACGGATGAATTGCAAATGGTCTTTTCAGTTGCACGGACTTGGGGGGAAACAGGCTTAAAGAATCTAAAACAGAAATATTGGTGTCACTATCAACATGAAGGCACTAAAGAAACAAACTAGATTGCAAAAGAATATGACCCAAAACAATGTAAAAATCAAATAGTTCTTGAAAAAGAATCAGAAACAGTTGGAGAAACATAAAACAATCTTACTACAGATCCAAGTGAAAGATATACCGATTAGTGCATTATCATATCCTCCTAACCAATAATTAATTCTTATAAACCAAATAAAGAGAATAAAATTTTTTTCCTAACCAATCTAATGGATAGCATTTATCACGTTAGTGGCATCCAATATTTGATTGTCATGTTTGTTTTTGAAGGGGGAAAAGATCAAGAGTATCTGACAAATATACTTTTTAAACTGCGAAGCAACTAATTAAAATACTCAATATGAGGGAATCCATTTCAGTTAGAGCCAATTATTTCAAAAAGGCAAAAATTGTGACAGAATTTTAGCTTTTTCTTCTCATTCAAAAGGCGCACCAATCAAGTAAAAGTTAAATTAAGGCAATAAATACAAATTTCAGCTGATATTTACCTCTAAATGACTCAAGATTTTTCAAATTATTGTGATCAAGATGAATGATTGATGATATTCCTTTGCTAGCAGCAGCAAACTCCATGAGTTCTAGCTGTTCATCTTTGAGAAGACCCATTGACTCTTTTGCAATTTTTCGTGTAGTTGCTTTTTCCCTGGCAACCCGACGTCTCTCCTCCTCTTTCTCTCTTTGAAGCTCTTCCTTTTGTCTCTTTTTCTCAGCCTATACGGAAAACCCCAAACTAAAACCAATGACTAGAAAAAAGAGAGAGTTCTCTTCATTTATGATTAAGGCCACAACATTATCCACAAAAACTCAGATTAATGTGTTCTCAAACTTACTCTAACATATTCTTTCTGCAAAATCTTTTGTCTTCTTTCTTCTTCCCGCTGCTTCTCGCGCTGCAATCTCTCTTCTTCCCTCTGCTTCTCACGCTGCAATCTCTCTTCTTCACGCTGCTTCTCACGCGTCAACCTCTCTTCTTCCTTCCTTCTTTCACGCTCATGCCTTTCAACTTCTTTTCTCATTCTTTCTTCAATCTGATAAAAACAATTTTCATAATATGAGACAATAAAGAGGAGTCCCCTATGAAGCCAAATTCATGGTCAATAAAAATAATAATCATAAAACCTTTATCCTTTTATTATCTAGTTTCTCAACGTCTTTACATATGCCGTCATCTTGTGCTTCAACTTCCCTAGCAATTCTATTTTCATCACTCTACAAGAAGAAAGGTTATATACAATTAGCATTCATGGAAGGATATAGAAATAAATTATACATATGCTAACAAGATAGGCACCTTGCGTTTCCTATTGTTTCGTGGATCATCAGACACTTTAGAAGATAAAGAAATAGTTCCCGTATTGTGTCGTTGAGGTAACAGAGGAGCTTGAGATCCTTGACCTTGGATTCCATGAACCCTGGACAACGGTTCCTCCCCGTGCACAAATAATGTAGCTCCAGCTCTTGTACCATTGACTGGTGATTCATAAAAATGAGAATGAGTAACTTGTCCGCATGCATCAGATCTAAGACTTGAATGATCTGGAAGAAACTGATACTCATGAATAGCACTCACAGCAGCCTGGGATTACAGTTTATATGATTTTAATAAGTCAACCCATATAAACCATGTTAACTTTTCCTTCCCATCAAAGTACAACAAATAAGCATTTAAAATATTTAAAAACATAAAACTTCTGGATCAATATATATCCATATATATACCAAAGATTGTAATCCCAGCAGCATATCCATTTACGCATCCTAAACTGTTCCATATTTAAAGGGACATAGAGAATAATAAAACCCCAATAAGAATTTCTATCAAAAACCCTAAAGAAATCTGAGACAGCTAGTCCTAAGTGAACTATCAATCACAAATCACCATAACAACCACACAAAGCATTCTAATTTCTAGATACAATGACAGTTAAATGTAAATGTGAGTTCAAGAAACCAACTTTACTTGTGTGGAGGTCATATATTTTGTTCTCATAAGGTTGTCCAGACCTCTTATGCAGCTCCGGAATAGCTAGTCAAAACAAATAAAGAAAGAAAGAAATACATGCATTACAATCTACAAGGCCGACTGTATAAAGTTATAAATTACAGTAAACAACATGTCCAATATATCAATCCATGAAAATGCAGCACAAATATAGTCTACATTCCGCAAAAAATATAAATTCTATTAAACATACACAGGCATCTTACTTTTAAAATAAGAGAAATTACTTTTACCTTCAAATGCATCGGGAGGTAAAGTATCAAACTCCATTCCCAGCATAGGCCCATCATCTCTCAATGGTTGCCCCAACTGTGCCTCCACGCAAGCAATTGCTCCGAGTTCCATCATGCCCCGAGAAGAACTTCCCCCTAACTTCCTGAAGTCCGTACACGGACTGGATCCAGAATCTGAGCCAGACTCGGACCCCTCTTCTGAATCTGGCCCAACCCGGAAATCATCAATAGGAGAATCCGGAGGCAGCGTGGTGCCTTTTTGATGATTCTTGGAAGGAGTTTCTTTCTTTTCTTTCAATCTCCGATGACAAAACCACGTCTGTAACTGCCGGTCCGTTAATCCTAGTTTTTCTGATAATTCTCCTCGCGTCGCTTCCGACGGGTATGTCTCCACTACAATATTTAAAAATAATAATAAACAATAACCATTGAAAGTGAGAAGAAAAACCAACAAGTGGAAAAGAGAGATGAAGAAACATACTAGCATAGGCATCCTCGAGAGTTTGGAGTTGAAACGGAGTCTTCATCTGTCGTTTAGGCTTAACGTAACCTTCATTGGAACTGTTAGCGTTTTTATTTGAAACTTTCCGTGGATTAGTTTCTCCTTCTGAACCAGGCTCCATTGAAAGAGTTCCAATTCCCAGAATCCAAGAAGAGGAATTAGGGTTACAGAAAAGACTTTCGCTTTCCTTCGCCCTAAAAAACACGAGACATCGTGAAAGTGAATTAAGATGAAGGACGAGGATTGATATCGAATTAAAAGAAACAATCAAAATATTAAACCAAAAATCGACAAAAATAAAATAGGAAATTAGGAACAAAGACTTGTGTCAATTACTAATTAATCATTGCTTTAATGTTATATATGATCCTTAAGTCTTTAAGAAAAAAAAATGTGGTTTTTAAACTTATATGGTATTTAATGTAAACTTTAAATTGATAAACTAAATAATTTTTTTATTAATAAAAATTAATTTTAACTATTAGGATATTAATGTGATAATTTATGATATTGATGTGATAAATTATGAATTATGATGACAATTGGTAATCTAATATGAGTTGGTTAAAGTAGTAAGCAGCTTGATTCCGCTTAAGCAAGGCTTCAGTTTCGAGTCTTTGTGTATACAGAAAATTACTGCTGGGAGACTCACCCACCAAAAACAAGTGTACGACACGGTTCGATCCAAATTAATCAAAACAAAATCTTAAAACTAGCCATGCAAAAAAAAAAAACTAACATATTTGAACCACCGTAAAATGATTTAGTAAATTATCAAAATGTTCTTGTAAGTAAAAAATACAAAAATACCCTTATAACCTTAATGAATAAAATTAATGATGAGATGTGTAAGGGATCCTTAGGTCCTATTAATGAGTTATGAGAATCCTGCATGTGGAAGATAATAGAAATGCCTTGAAGACTAAAATGTCTAATATGCTTTAAGTGACTAAAATGTCTAATATGCTTTAAGTGACTAAAATGTCCTTAAGAGGAAACGACAAGATCGTTGATCACTGTCGGGGATGCCCTTCAACCATTGATATTTCCCGGGAAGCCTTCGCTACTATAGCCAACCCAGTCGCCGGCATCATTAATATCAACTACAAATAGTGCGAATAACACATTTCCTTTATTATATCCATTGATTCTTCAGTGTGAAGTCCCTTTGTTTAATCCAATAACATCATTTTATGTGGTTGTGTAGGATTTGATAAACTTTGGCAATGCAAGAGTAGGTTGGAAGAGTCGGTATTACCTCTACAATATCCGATCTGGATTAATCGATTAATAAATATGATATCAGTGTTACACCAATATATATATATATATATATATATATATATATATATATAAATCACGGATATCAAAACATAATAAAAGTTACATAAACGTATTTGAATTTTTTTTCTTTGATTAATCTAGAGTAAGTATAAGGCAGTATATGTTTAAAGATAATTATTAATCTTTCGACGTTGAACGTTCACACCCCTAACTTCTATAGCGCTTGAACCCGAATCCTAAAAAAATAACAACAATTTCTTTACCGTGGAAGCCACTTAGTTTGTGCTTGTATATGAATTTTACATCCAACGCTCAGAAATTTATGATCCATAGTATTGTTTGTTGAAAATTTTAAATATAATAATAGTTGTCTTTTAGCATTCTTTTGTCGATTCATAGTAAATTTTAAATTTTAAATATTTATTTTCTAAAATTTAATCCAATAGTTAGTGTAACATTAAAACTAAGAGTTTTAATTTTTTTTTTGACATTAAAAAAGATATAAAAAAAATATAAATCTATATTCACTTAATAAATATAGGAAAAGCATTGTCACTTGCCCATGGACTCGCCGCATACATCTCCTTCAAAATGCTATAAATCGTTCATAATTTCAATCTCAGATCATCGATCACATTCACTTAATAAATCAATATTCACAAAAAAAACATTACTTTCTCTTTCCTTTTTTACAAAGAAATCGATAAAAAAATGGTGAAGATTGTTTTGGCCATTGTTTTGATTTCAATGATCATGATTCTTTCAGTCCATTCCGTCGTCGGTGACGCTGAAATTCCGTCTGCACCGACAACAGATGTTAAAGATGCTCCCGGACCAGCTCCGGCGAATGAAAATCATGAGAAATCACCATCATGGACTGACTGGGCCAAAAACAAGATCGGGTGAGAGAAAAAACATGAAAACCAACAGTTTTTTTTTTAATTCTAATAATTATATATAAGGTTTTTCGTTGTTTACTTGGTTTGTATGTAACTTATGTGTGATGATTTCTGATGTGTCACTGTATACAGCGGTATTGAGAACCTTTTTGCTTCATCGACGGCATCAGGACCGGCAGCATCACCGGAAGAATCGTCGGCGTCGGCACCGGCACCCCCAACTGCAGTGAAGGACGGCTTATAGAAGCATTTCTAAGTCGGAATAAAAAATCAATTGCATTTCATGATTGAAAGTAGGTTAAATGACATTCAATTTCATCTTTGGCAATATAGAATGCACATATTGTTATGCAAACCAAATAAAAATCACCATTTCTACTTTGTTATTTGTAAATATGTTAAATAAATCATTTTTATTGGTTTTTTTTTTCTATTTTTTCCTTCTAATTTTAATGTTTGATCCTTACGATATTTTAATAGATTCAGAAAGCATGTTTTTTAAGATAAAGTACACCAAAAGTTATTAAGATCAAATAATTATTTTGATTAACTTTTAAATTTATAAAATCCATGATTCAGAATAGAAGTGAAGCAAGCATAGGGAGAAGGTGTAGTTATTAGATCGCAAAATCTGAGGGGTTTTTTTATTAATATGAGATAAATAGTTAAATACAACGTGATATTTGTTTAAAGATAATTTTTAATCTTTCGATATTCATAGTGTTCGAACCCGGATCCTCGATGAATAACAACAGTTCTCTTACCATGAAATCCACTTGGTTCGTGCTTTTTGTTAGCTTCTCCTTTTTATACCGTAATAAATTGGTAAATTAGAATAATCACATAATTATTGAAACAATAACACATGATCAGATAATAGTTTGAAAGCTATTACGAGAGTCCACTTTATCTTTCAGGTGTACGAAATTTGGAGAATTGTGTTCATCTCATGTGGTTATTCGTCCATTGTAGCGATTACGAACATCCAGACGAAATTTAGAGAATTTGTGTTCATCTCATGTTGGTGTTAAAATAGAACTCAAGAATATGATGCCTAACTAAGTTCAAGCATGGCTATTAGATCTGATGAGACTTTGGTTTGTGAATAAAGATTGATAGACGATAAAACAAAACCCATCTGATTTAGTAAAACAAATAATTGAAACAAATGTATACCATCAGACGTTGTGCAGCTATAGGCTTGTTGGGGTTATTCTTGGGATTCGTTTGGTTCACGGAATGTAAGATTACCGTCGAGAATGAGATTATCGAAATGGTACGTTACGTAACACATTGCTGGGAATGTTGTATTATCTTGTTCGATTTGTTTGTCAGGAATGTAAGATTACAATGTTTAGTTGACGGAATAAATGATAAGAAAAATATATGTTTTATTAAATTGTCCTTGAGATATATACATATTTTTTAACAAGTTAAGTTCTCAATATTAGAGTTAAAATATTTACATGAGAGTTCATAGAAAATATATTTCTCTATTATTTCTGGTTTATATATTTTTTAATAAAATTTATACATAAATAATTTAATATATATTTTTTATTTCTTTGAAAATACAGAAACATGCTTACACCGATATAATTATATGTTTATTGTTAAATACCAAGAGATTGAGAGATGTATATACTTACACCAGTGTAAGTATGTGTTAATGCTACACTTTTTTTTATTTTATTCATTTATATCGATATAAATATGTATTAATTTGTTTCATTTTTTTATTTTATTCATGTTGCATTCATGAATTGTACAACGACCATAAAAAAATTAATATATATTTTATTTTATTTTAATAAAATTTATACATAAATAATTTAATATATATTTTATTCATGTTTCATGAATTATTCGGTAAAATTAACAAAAACCATAAAAAACAAAATATAGAAAACTTTTTATTATATGCATTGTATTATTTTATAATAAGTATTGAAAATTAAAATCAGAATAAAAAAATAAAATAAAATTAATAAACTTATATTAAAATATTAATATTTTTACTTTATAATATCCAAAATCAATCTGATCTAAATCATATTATAGATAGTTTGTCTATTTCATCGAGCGTCCCAAAATTTACAATGTGTTTTGATATGGGAAACGAAAACAGAGTTTGACCAAATCTAATTGCAAAATATTCCCAAAAAAAAAAAAAAAGAGACTTGAAAGATTAATGGAGAAGATATTTTAGGAAATGATTATGGGTTGGTTTTGTTATTATTTAAATAATAAAATTAGTAAAAATTTATTGAAAATATTATTATTTCTATCGATTTTGTTATTATTGGGCGTTTTACCGGTTTAATTAATAAAACTGGTAAAACATTATTGATTCTGTTATTATTGGACACTTTATCAAAAGTATTAAAATCATTGATATTTTAAATATAAATAATAATTTTTTACTAATTTTATTATTTAAAAAATAATAAAAATGATAATATCTCATTTTAATTATATATTAAGGGTGTATCACTATATAACTTCGTAACTATTTCATGTAGTTGTTGCTGCGTGGCTTCTGAGAGAAGCTCTCCAACGTGACTTAAGATTCCCTTTAAAATGTCATGTCGGCTGTTATATGTCTTTCTGTTACGTTAAAGATTGTGGTGATTCCGTGCGCTCAAGTCCCCTCTCACCCGTTTGGTCGAAAGCTGCCCACCAGATCAGCTTTGATCAACGATGCAGGATTCATTGTTCGGAAACCTTATCCCCTTCACTAAAAGAATAGGGTAAAGTATAGTAATGACCACTGAACTTTTATAGTCTTTCATTTAGATTCCTAAACTTTTAAAACTTTTAAAAAAGTCTCACAACATTTAGTCCGTTTGTAATATGGTCCCCAGCGTTACACTGCCGTTAGAAGATGCTAACGTGGCAGTGAGATCACCGTTTGCAGCTATGAAAATTAGGGTAAATTATATAAATGGTCACTGAACTTTTCAGGCGCTTGCATTTAGGTCCCCCAACTTTTAAAACTTGAAAACAATCCTCAATTTCATTCTAAACCCCAAATTCCAAAATAATTCAATTACATTCTAAACCCCAAATTCTAAAATACTTCAAAATAATATCGAGTTAACCAAGATTTCATGTTAACCAAGATTTGTATAAAAAAATTGATTTTTTTTTTTATGTTTTGATTGAGTTGTATTCAATGAAAATCGATTGTTACTGTTCGATTGAGTTCATGAGCAATTGAATGTGGGGTATGCATGTGTAAATGATGCATGAAATTTTACCAATTTACTGCAGCAGTAAATACGCGACCTCTATTACCTTTTATATTGAAAAAAGAAAAAACTCTGGAATAGGGAAATTGCTTCTTTGCTTTGAGTTATGCATGTTACTGTAATGGTTCAACTAGTCATCTTGGTAGCATCATTTCTATAATGAAGTAATGATACAAACATAGCAAGGTCATACTGGATGTGTTCCAAAACACACTTCAATCGGTTCCAACTAAGTTCTATGATACATTCGTAGATTATTTCGACATCCTGCATGTTACTACATCACAATCAAGTCAAAAGTAGAACATCAGCTCACACCTTAAAATCAGCACAAAATCGGAAATCTGATACAGTGAAGCAGCCCCCACTCTAACTTCATTTCTTTGCCTGCCATATATTCCGACATCTCAAATTAGAAAACAAATTCACTATGGATCTTGCGGTCTTAAGTGGAGTTGAACAAATAACATAGTGCATGCATCATTTGCACATGCATACCCCACCATTCAATTGCACATGAACTCAATCTAACAGTAACAATCAATTTTCACTTAATACAACTCAATAAAAAATCTTGGTTAACATGAAATCTTGGTTAACTCAATATTATTTTGATTATTTTGGATTTGGGGTTTAGAATGTAATTGAATTATTTTAGAATTTGGGATTTAGAATGAAATTGATGACTGTTTTCAAGTTTTAAAAGTTGGGGGACCTAAATGCAAACGTCTGAAAAGTTCAATGACCATTTATATAATTTACCCTAATTTTCATAGCTGTAAACGGTGATCTCACTGCCACGTCAGCATCTTCTAACGGCAGTGTAACGTCGGGGACCATATTGCAAACATACTAAATGTTGGGGGATTGTATTACAAATTTTAAAAGTTGAGAGACCTAAATGAAAACTTCAGAAAAATTCAATGACATACTTTACCAAAAAAATAATACATGTAATTGAAGTGGTTTTTTTTAATCCATCTACGTTTTCCCGTATCTTCGTTTGAAATGTTAATGTAATGGCCTTGCCCTCATCCTTTATTCAAAAAAGAAAAAACATGTTTCTTTTAAAAAAAAACAATAATGTTTATTTTTTATATTTTTATAAAAATTTTAAATATAATAAATAAAAATATAATCCTCTTAATTTTAATATCGATCGTTGAGTGTCGATATGAAAAATTCTACGACGTGCGTCGCATATCGCAACATACCACTAAAGTAACATACCGAAACGTATAATTAGTTAAATTGTCATTATTAAGTAAATGTTAAAAAGGATAAATTATAATTTTGTACCTAAATTATCATTTTTGTTTAATTTTAGTATTTAAACTTTATTTTTTTAAATCATTGACGATAATTCTTACATGGCATGACATGTCAATTTTTTTATTTTTTAATTATCACATCACATTTTTTTTATTTGTCAATATTTTTAATTAATTTTAATCAACCAATTAGATGATGACATGTGTCACCCACATATGAGACAAAAAGATTGCAGTTATTCTTGCTTTTGGTATGAATTGATCTTAAGTATTTTATATGAGAAACAAAGCACTCAAACATTGAGCTAAACTAGTCATTTAGATAAATTTTACCACATTTTGAATTTAATTTATATAACAATATCACCACAAAATTAAATATTTTTTTATGATTATAAGATTCAAATTTGGGGAACTTTAAATTAATCACCGAAAGATCAGTCACTCAACTATAGTGTGAATTTTTCTTATTATACTGAACTTAATACATATATCATTATTAAATAAAAATTTAACTTTTCACTTTATATAAAAATTAAAAAAAATAATTAAATAATTCATATATTTTATAAAAAATATATATGAAATAATTATAAATAAGGTACATTTATAATATTATAAAAATATTTATTTATGTTTTAAAATTTAATTAATTATTTATTTGAAATAATATTATTTTTAAATGATCTATTTAATTTAAAATAATTTAAATTTAGAGTAAATTATGCGTTTACTATCCAATTATTACTTTAGTTATGTACAATATTATTTAAAATTAAATAGATAATTTAAAAATAATATTATTTCAAATAAATAAATAATATGATTTTAAAATATAAATAAATATTTTCATAATATTATAAATAAACTTTTTAGAATAATTTAATATAAATTTTATAAATACATAAAAGTAATTATTTACTTTTTTATTTCCAAATAAAGTAAAAATTATTTTTAATTTAATAATGATACAAATAAGTATTAAGTTTGATATAATAAAAATAAATTCGCATTATAATTGAATGACTAAATTTTTTATCATTAATTTAAAGTGTCATATATTTGAATTTTATAATCATAAGAAAATATTAATTTTGTGGTGATATTATTATATAAGTTAAATGCAAAATATGATAAAATTAATATAAATGACTAGCTTAATTCAATGGTTAACTGTCTTGCATTTCATCCTAAGAGCAAGATATTTTTTATTATATTTTTTATCATCGTAATTAGTGACATGTGTCATCATTTAATTGGTTAAATAAAATTAATTTAAAAATAATTACAGAGAAATAGAAAAATGATATGAAATTAAAAAAAAATTGACATATCATGTCTCATCACATTATCATTAATGGTTTTGAAAAAAAAAATATGTACTAAACATATATCCTTTTAATATTTATTTAATAATGACAATTTAGTAATGGTACGTTTCGGTGCGTCGTGTTAATGGTATGTTATGGTGTGCGACGTGCGCTGTAGACTCGTCCTTGTCGATATTCCTTATTTTTCATACATTTTCTTATTTTTATTTTTATTAGTTTTTTTTTAATTTCTAATATTTTTCATTTCACGTTTTTTCTATGTCTTTATTACATACTTTCCTCTATTTTTATAGTACTCATTTTTATTTTTTGACACGTTTTCGATCTTCTCTATCGGTTATTTAGTCATCCTTCGTTTAATTTTTAGGTTCGATTTGATGTCGCATCAACTCATCAAGATGATGTTTATGTTATTTTGTTGATCTTCCATGCTTTGGACTTTCATATTGAATTTAGATACGTGATCTACGTTCAAAGATAATTTTTTCACGATACTCGATTCAAATTTGTGATTGTCGGTGGTCTTCTAATAAATTGATCTCTTTTTGTGGTTCGTTTATCAATTTAGTCAGATATGTTCGTATCTATATTTTGTTCAATATGTTTGGATAGATTTGTAACATGTTCCTTGTATGATGCCTATATGATCTCAAATAGAGGAGCTGTTGAAATCATAAATGAAAAAAATAAATTACTTGAAAAAAATAAATGAATATAGAATACACACCTAAACTATTTTGTAATCACCTCAATTGTTAAAGAATGATTATTATTTCTAAAGGTATCGAGTTCGAATATCAACGACTACAACAAAAATGATTAAACGTTCATTGTCAAATAGTTAAAATTATTTAGAACATAAACCCGAAACTAATATTAAAACTATAAAACAATCAAAGTTGGTGATTCCTTTCTTAACATTACAATTCTACCTCGAAGAAATGAGTTCATATCAAAGACAAAAATGGTTGGGTGAAATTATTCCATTCATTTTTAAATTCTAAATTTCACAAACGAAATATCAAGATGATGTGTACTCAAATATACTTAAAATATAAAAAAAAATTGTTCTAAATAATAATATATTAATTTTTCTTATATATTTTTATACTAAAATGTACATAAATAATATTAATACTTATTCAATTTTAAGATACTTATTTGCCTTCTCTCCACTCAACCTCATTGGTTTTTATTTTATTATGTATATTTTTAACTATTTGATTTATTGTTATATTTGTTTATTAAAATTTTAATTAATTATATAATAATAGATTTAATCTTTAAAATTTATATAATTTATTAATTAGAATAAGCACATTTGGTTGGTTGACCAATATGTTTATCTTTGTTCCTTCGTATTTCATTAGGTTACGAGTTCTAGACTCGCTGAGAATACTCAACTTCCTTCTCCTCTCTCTAAATAAGATTAAGATTATATTTAAATTTTATAAAAATATATTTTATTAATTAATCCTTAAATTTGATCGTAAATCTTCCAAAAAATAACTTAAATTTAAATGAAAATTCAAATTAAAACTTTAAATTCAAATAATATTTTATTTTAAGTTTAATCATAGCAAATTTTACGAATAATTATATCGACTCAAAATCAAGTTTAAAAGTAAAATCTCTAATCTGACTCATAATAATAATATATATGTATATTTAAAGATATTATTATGATATTTTTTATATTTCTTAATTATATTTTATTTTATCAAATTAAAAAATATTTTTGTTTTTATTAAATCAAAATAAATTTTTACCCAAAATTCAAGTAAGTTTATATCAAATAAAAATCACTAAATATCAGATTCCATAGTCGGATTAGGTATTGGGCGGTAAAGTCCAGCCCAATTTACGGGGTTAGTACACATAGGGTGGTAAAGCGGCAACGTTTGGTCAAACGACTGCATCTGCATGTATTATATCATAAAAGCGCACGTAGGTTAACATAACCCAACTTGACGTCCAAGCAACAATTATCCAAAATTTATTATTTATTAATGTTTTGTATCCGAAAAAATAACTACTGAAATTAAATAAATCCAAAGCTTCTTCTCCCTTTTAAACTCTTCCTTTCAAAACCTTCTCTCTGTGTGTTAACAGCCGCATCTAAGCACACAGCAGCAACTATATATAATCATAAGCAAAACTTTTTGTTTTGTTTTCTTTTTCTTAGAAAAAGGAGAAATAAACAGCTTGGAAGAATTAAATTCCATTGCCAAACATCAAGAAAGAAAGAAAAGTGGGTAACTGTAAACGTGTTCTACAAGAGACAAGCTTTGTTTGTTTTGTTTTGTTTTTGTCTTTGTTCTCTTTTGTTTTATGTCTCAATCTTGTTAGAATTTTTTGTGTTTTACGTGTTCGGAGAAGTGGAGGAAGAAACAAGAAGCGAAGCTCGGGTTTGTAACGGGAATAAAATCATAAGAACAAGAGAGATGACGTGGTGCAATAATACTGTTGATGATAGGGCTCTAGAGATTGTCACTTCAGCCGCCACCGCCGCCTCAGAAGCAGTCGTTTCGGTCTCCAAAAGTAATGAAACACCAACCATTACATGCCCTTCATGTGGCCATAACATGCCCTACCATGATCAGGTTCATACATAACCATAACTTACTCTACAAGTAAAGCCCTTTTGTGAATTGATGTTTTATCTAGTTTTATGTGATTTCAGGCGGGGATTCATGACTTGCCCGGTTTACCGACAGGAGTGAAATTTGATCCCACGGATCAGGAAATTCTACAGCATTTAGGAGCAAAGGTTATATTGGACAAGCGCAAGCTTCATCCATTGATCGATGAGTTTATTCCAACGCTTGAAGGAGAAAATGGGATTTGTTATACGCACCCAGAGAGGCTTCCAGGTAAGATTTGTAATTTCGGACCCTCGAAATTTTTGGGTTTGCATTCTAATACAAAATTTTGTGACCGTTTCTGAACATGATACGTGTTTCCTATCCGTTAACATTGCAATGGTGCAGGTGTAAGCAAAGATGGCCAAATTCGACACTTTTTTCATCGACCATCCAAGGCGTACACAACAGGGACCAGGAAGAGAAGAAAAGTACACAGCGACGACGAATACGGAAGCGAAACGAGGTGGCATAAGACGGGCAAAACCAGACCAGTTTTGGTCGGTGGGACAGTGAAAGGGTTCAAAAAGATTCTAGTACTCTACGCCAACTACGGTCGGCAAAGGAAGCCGGAGAAGACAAACTGGGTGATGCATCAATATCACCTTGGGAACAAGGAAGAGGAGAAAGATGGCGAGTTGGTGGTTTCTAAAGTATTTTACCAAACTCAGCCTAGACAATGCAGTCCAAGTGGTAATAGAACAAACATTCAAAGTCCTAACGTTGAGTATTACAATCAACCTTTCGTTTCATTTGATCATGGAAGTCATCATTATAGGGAAAACCCACCTCAGATGATCCCTAATTTTGTCGTTCAAGGTAACGGGTCTTCGTTTTTTGGGGTAGCCTCTGGTACAAGCAAAGGGAAAGGGAGATGATCACTCTGAACAGAATTTTTTTTTTAGACAATGACATGGTTGGTGCTGTTGTTCTGTAATAATCGAAATTAATTATCGGATTATGATTTTTCTGAGGAATTGAAATAGTGGAAGAAAGAATAACTCAGGTGAATGTATATCGTCTTCATGCATGGTCTTGAGACAAGGGAGCAGCTGCCCTATAGAGATGTATATTACACTAGCCATTTCGCAGAACTGTGTTTTATTTACCACAATCATATATTATATTCATTCTAGGCATTTATTATAAGGTTTGATGAGCCACTGATGACATTTATTGAAGGATTGTGCAAAGATATATGGCTCTTTCTGCTAATAGGTATAGATGCATTTTGTTTTCTCATTTATGAATAGCAATCAAATTTGTGATCATAATTAGGTTTTTCTTTACGAAAGAATTCCCGAGTCTTTAAGAATAAATTTGTGAAATATTTGTTTGAAAAAATGCTCACATTAATCCGAGAATGATATAAAAAAATAATAATGAATAAATATCATCATATAATATCAAAAATACAAAGTGATAAACAGAACGAACGAATTTACTCTTATCTTGAAAATGTTATCCGAATTAATAATTTGAGTCAAAATCAATATTGAGAAAATAAACAAAAAAAAGTTAAACTTCTTAGAAGATAAAATAGAATGAATGGAAAAAATACTCATTTTATTTTGATCTATCGATCGGAATCAGTTGAGGCCTATCGCTACACAGTTATCTTAAGACAGATTTTTCAGCCACTCATTTGGTGCTCGAGTTCATTGGTCATCTGTCTCCCATGATACAATAACTAATGATCATCTACATTAACACATCTGCACAAATCAAGAACGATCATTGCCTTCAACTATCATCGAAAAAACTAAAGAAGATATAAATTTTTCAAGATAAGAGAAGTTCTTAAAAAACTGAGTTATGGGATATGAAAAATCAAACATTTTCAAGAGAGATTTAATCAAACTAAATATTTTTAATAATCAACATTAAACATATAACAATATCTTTTAATTTGAAATATTCAAATGATAAAAAAATTATTTTACTATTCAAACTTAAATAGATATTATTTTAATTTGAAATATACAAAAATATATAATTATCTTTAATATTTAAAATTAAAAAGGTAACAAACACCTTTTAAAGTTGACATATTCAAAGAGTAAGTATCCTACTAATATTCAAATTAAATAATTTATTTAATTTTATGTTACGGAGTAAACTTGAACTTTTAAAATTTGAAGGAGCGAATTTGAACTTAAAAATTTCAGGAGGCGAAACAAATTTTTAATAAAAAATATATATAGAAAAAATTAAAATGTATAGTGATTTTAAAATTTTAGGAGGAAACTGACTCCACTCGTGTCTCTCGATCCATCCCTGATTATAAAGTTATAAAAAAACTAGCATAACGACCAAGGGAATTGCATACCTCAACATACATATATTTTAAGTAGTCTAAGATGATAGGAGCATGGAAAATTAGTAGAAGCTATTAATGGAACGAACATTCAACAGTTATAATATTGGGCAAACTTGTTGCCAAAGGAAGGGTGTTGAAAACTCTGGTCATAAGTCAAAAACAAAAGAAGAACCAAACAACAAAATAAAAGTAGTCGGCTAGGGAAACCATTTTCCTAAGTAATGATCCCTTTCCAATACATCAATTTTTGATTTTTTAAGGAGGAAGTGTCTTGGAAATTTTGGGCTTTTGTTTCTTTTTAGGAATTTAATAGAATAGTCATTGATATTCGAACCTATGTTCTTGTCATAATTTTAATGAGTATTTTACTAATACTGAGCACTTGATTGAATTGGAGGTTAAGTTAATCCGACGCCAACTCAATTGGAAAAAATTTCAGTTAAAATCTCAATTCAAGTGATAAAATTAGAACTTTTAACAGCAGCTGAATTCTTTTGACGATGTTGTTGATGAAGTGGTTCACGAAGACTTTCTTGGTTAACCTGATTTTAATGTCATTGGTTGGTCTACTGATTTCATTTAGGAAATTCTTCAAATTGAATTACATGATGGATTGATATGCCTCAGGATGATTTGGTTAGAAGAGTCTAAAAAGGAAGTCAAGCTATGTTATGTTCTCCTAGGGGCGTGATAAAGTCCATGGAGATGACGGTTTCTCAGCCGGCTTTTTCAAGGCTACTTGATCGATCGTAGACCTGAGATTTTTGGGTAAATTACGAGTTTAATATATAAACTATCAGTTTTAGTACATTTTTAGTATCTAAACTTTAGTTTTTTAAATTATATCTAATGTTTAGTTTTTGTTTCATTTTAGTATCCCAACGTTAGAAACTTAACGGACGGGGTGACATGACATAGCCCCGATGGAAAGACAACAAATCCAAACGGTGAACCACGAGAGAATGACTAGTCTGCCAACATAGTGTAGTTTCAAGCCCATCGAATATTGGACCATGGAGATCAGAAGATGAAGTAATCGAAGATCCACTTAGGGAGATTGAGACGTTTCCCGGTGAAACGGAGGTCGGAATTGTATTCAGTGGATCGAAAAGATGAGGATTAGAAAGTCCGGGCTTCATCGGCCAACAAATGCGACGATTGTATACGCGGCGGCCGACGAGAATGTCTTTAAGTTTTTAACGGCAGATATTAAAATGAAACAAAAACAAAACCTTGGGTATTTCATTCTCTATGAAGGATTTGAATTCGAGCAATTTCGTCGATAAAATATGTATATCTTGTTAATAAACTAAGAAATTTTTTGAACAAATATTACTTTGTATATTTGATTGCTCTAGAGTTTATAAGCGTGCAAGGAAATTATTGTTGGAAAACTTAATTTCTGCTAGATATAATATATCTTAGCCAGGAATATCATTGATTGCTTCTTACTGGCTCATGAACTAGTTTGAGGGTATTCCAGGAGGAAGATGTCTCCATGATGCACACTTAAAGTAGACCCTGCAAAAAAGCCTCTGATACAGTTAGCTGGCCTTTTCTCCTTAGTGTTCTGCTATCAATGGGATTTCCAGTGAAGATGATACATTGGATTGAAGTTTGAATAAATAAGCACTCCAAAGTTTTCAGTTTTCCTTAATGGAGAGGATTGATGTGTTAATTCAAAGGTGGTCAAGGCATTAGGTAAGGGGATCTAGTGCATACTGCAATGATTTGACTTATTTTCTCTATCAAAATTGGGATATTTTACTGTGGGGTATTTTCAAAATTGACTTTTTAAATATTGGATTTAAAGTAGGCTATCTCGACCTATTAAATATCTTGGACTGCCTTTAGTCTCTACAAAGTTATCCATTAATTGTTGCCGTGCCTAAGTTGTTGGATAAAAGTAGAATTAATTCTTTAAATTTCTAAGAGTCTTGATTTAATAGCCAACAATTTGGCTAAATTAAAATGATATGAGTTGATTACAAGCAGCTGGGATGTCATCAAACTATATTCGACAAATAGTGTAATTTATGGTTGGTTAGTGGAGCAAGAGTCAAGTGCCGACGGAGGAGGAAAACACTGGGGGATTAGGTTTTTATACTCAAGTTACATAACATTAACATACCTACACATTCCAAAGAAAAGACCTTATCCTTGCTGTTAATTTAAAATCAATATTAAACAAAAGAAACTACCACACTAAATTATTGACTAAATGTAGAACACATGCATTACCCTCTTACAACTGTTCTGATTTCTGCAGGACACATTTCTCATATAGTGCAAGGATTTCTTTCTTGTTCGGATTCCGCAGCGCAAGCAACTCCGCGCCAAAGTTTAGTTTGGTGAGTTCCTGTTTAAGTTTCTGCACGGTGAACTTTGTATAATCTTCTTGACTGTTTTGCCGATTCTGACTGTCATCGCCGCCTTTGAATACTGACCCGCCTTCGCCTGATTGCGAATACAAGTGGGGGTTAGTTGTGCTCCTGGACTTCTTATTTGCTCTAAAAATTCTGTCACTCATTTCTGTATCTTGAACGGATCCCACGCCCATTTCCACATCATCTGCCCTCGATCTCTTTCCATGGGAAGCGGATTTGAGCTTACCACCCAATGCCGTTTCATTAAGCCGGACGGAAGTCAACTCCTGCTGGAGTGAATCAAGTTTCGATTGTGCAGCTTGCAGCTGAAGAGAGAGGGCTTCGGCCCTTTCATTTGCATCTGCATGTGCTGCTCGTTCAGAGTCCAAAAGATCTTGAAGGACTTTAACTGTACTAGTCCTCTGATCATTGTTTGCTCTTAATAATGACTCGATCTCTTTCTCCCTCTCTTCGACTCTAGCTTCTAATAATCCGACTTTTGACACTGCATCCATCTCCGACAAACTTATTCTATGCAGTTCATCCTCCAAGTTTGTTTTCTGTCTCTCCAAATTCTCTATTTGCCTCTCGGCCCTTTCAATCTGAGCCAATCTTTTCATTGCCAACTTTTGTATCTCGCTTCTCTCCATTTGGGCAGCTACTGCTTCTTCCCGTGCCCTATCAGCCAATTCTGTTGCTTTCTTCGCTTCTTTCTCAGCTGCTCTACACCTTTCTTCTACTTCTGCAAATCTCCTGAACTCAGAAGAATACTTCTGCTCCAAATGGATCTTCTCCTGTTCCAAAATCTTTGCTTCTCTCTCAAATGACTGGGCCTTGGTATTAGCATTTTCTACCTTATCAATTAGCCCCCTGATTTCAACCTTTAGAGACGATACTTCTACATCATAACTCTTAATCTTTGCCTCAGCAGCCTGTACAGAGCATTTCCCATTGTTAAACATTGTGACCTTTGAGAATACACTTAACCAATGTGAAACAAAGGTCACGAGCAACAGAACTCAAAAGATAAAAGTAGAAAGTGAAAATTGTATGCCTACTAAATCTGTTGTTAAAATGCAGTGGCTTATAGAACGATCGTGGTAAATCATAGTTAACAATTCAATAAGTAAAATCATATTCCAATGCATTGCATATAGAATACATAGATAAAAATGCACAATCATATATGCACATATATAAGAAGCTAACCTTCAACTCCAACTTTAGAGTTGTCAAGCATTGCTCAGCATGTTCAATCCTTGCCGATTTTTCCTTTATTTCCTCTTCCTGCAACATATTCATCAACATATAAACAAATTACAATTTTTTACTGCATATTACAGTTGCAAAAACACAATTAAGTGAAAAAGTATCTGCATATGAATGTGAGGAGAGAAAGTGATCACTACCTTATTAGCCAATATATGTGAAAACTCTTCTCTCAAAGCATCTTCCCTAAGTTGAGTTTCCTTGCTTGACCGCTCTTGCACAATTGCTGCCTTCTCCAGAGCAGCTTTGGCCTCTCTAACAGCAAAGTCATACTTCCTTTTCCACTCTTCTGCCTCCTCTTGTGCAGATTCAGCTTGCTCCTTGGAAGCAGCCAGCCTAGCTTCAGCAGCAGTGCTCCGGGACTTGAGCACTTCAATTTCTGAGGTGGCCTGATCTTCTTTGGCCTTCTGCTTTGATAAGACCTGATCATGTTTTCTTCTCCAGTCTAATGTTTCTTGCTTGGCATAATCTAGTGCTTTTGTTAAACTGGAACATCTCTCTTTCAGTGAACTGTTATCACCTTGCAAATTATTCATACGGCTAGCATATTCATCAGCAAGTTTGTTTTTGTCATTGATAGCATCATCATATCGCTTCAGATATTCAGATTTGTATTTCTCACTATCCTCCAGTTGCTTGCTGAGTAACTTCATCTTATCCTCAATTGAACGGCATTTCAATGTAAGGGAACTCTTCTCTGATCCGATCTGATCTATAAGCCTCTTGGTTAAATCCAGCACTGGCCCCTCCAAACTGTTTAAAAAGATAAGAGTTAAAATTAATAGGGACTTAAGCCCCGGAATACTTGATACAACCATCTTAATGAAAATAAATAAAAATATTGGTACAAACCTATGCTGTAAAAATACAGTCAGTTTCTGCCATTTTCCAGGGCCATGACATGATGCTTCATACTCGGATAGAAGAGCATCAAGAACCTGCAAATAACATTCTAATCAAACCCAGTGAATTGTATCCTTCGGTAAATAACAATCCCACATACTATCATAGATAACATATAACCAACTTTCTGTAGGATCAAGACGAAGGTAACAAATAGTAACTGAAAAGGAAAGCCACAAGCAGATAGCTATACCTAAATTGGCTGATTAACTAGCTTTCATCCTTACAATATTAGCAATGTAAAATTTAAATCTGGAATATCATCTCAATAGTAGTTAATGAGAAGAAACAAAGTAGCACAACGAGGTTGCAGTCCTTTGCATGAAGAATAAGGACAAGTAGATAATGACCACTTACCTTCACAACATTATCAATACTTGCATCAGATGCATGACATGCTGCTCTCATCCTCTTTCCCATGCTTTCTATGGCATTTGAACATCGCAAATCTGCTTCCATAAACGCATTCCTTTTATAGTCCTGCATAAATGACCAATCCCATAATTCAAAGCAAACCATGCATTTTGATAGCATAGAAAAATAGACTTAACCTACATATGTAGCCTGCAAGTTACTGCATACCTCAAATGCCTTTCTGAAGAATTTCTGAAGAAGCTCCTCATATTTCTTTCTCGTTGCACCAACACCTACTGCACTAGCATTGTACTCGGCCATTGCCCTTTGCATAGCTTCTTCATGAGCCTCCCTCAATGCCACCTAGGATCATCAGGATTTGAATTGTAAAAAATATATATCAAAATAGCCACACAACAATTATCATAAAAACATATCACTTACTTCCTCGGGTGGCTTTGTATGGACAAAACTTGACATATAAATCTCAGCAGCAGAATCATATGCCCTCCGACACTCAGTTTCTTCAACACTCTGAAAATAACACTATTAACACTCTTTGATTCCACTGAATGACTTATCCCATAGGCCATAACATTTCCGGATAACAATAACTAACCTGCCATGAGGAAGATATTGTAGGCACTGCACCATTATTCAAAGCATCCAGATATGATTGTGTAATACCAATAAGAACAGGCCCTGTCATTACGGTACCCCCAACCTGCTTCGGCCTTGTTCTCTCAAAAACAAATTTTGTAAATGCATCAAGCCCAGCTCGAAATTCAGGCCTCAATTTCTCAAGCTACATATAAAAGCTAAGGTCTTAGCAAACAAATTATACATGTTAAATGAAAAAGAAAATCAGGAGTAGGAGAGAGAGGAAGCAAAAAGGGTGACTGAAAATCAGAGGGGGAATATCATATATGGAAACAGTTAGACACTAACCGAAATTTGATCAAGCCTTTGCAGATCATTTTCATTGCTCAAAGGCCTCACAAGAGTAAAGCATTCTCTGTCGGGAAATAAAGCTCGAATAGAGTCTCGGATCTTCAACAGTTAAACATACATAATCAGTGTCTATTAAATGATTTGCATGCTTAGCCATGCAACAAAATTTGCATATTACTCATTAAAACACTTTGTTTTCAGTTTTCATCAAGCCTCTAAAGAACTAATATTGATTTCTTTTGTTTCCTAAATTAAAATCCATGTTAAGACTTACCTCATTCTTGGAAGCTATGTCTTTCCCGCTACCTTGAACTGATCGTAAAGCAAGCTCTAGGTAGTCACGGGGAGTTATTTTCCTATTATCTTCCGTCAAATCCAGATAAAAATCCTGCAAGATTAATATCTTACAAAAGAGAACTTGAACAAAACATGTTTTACAATCATAAGAAAGAACTAAACACATGAAAATCAATAAGAAAGATTGTATGTGTTTGTTTGTAATCAAATATTACCCTCAGAAGCCAAACAAAGATTGGAGAGAACTGTGCAAGTTCAGAAGCTGAGGTTGTTCTTCCTCCAGCTTTGACTCGTATATGTTTCGTCATTTGAGTGACAAGAGAGAGACGATCCAATGCAGCTTCATCTATACCTCCCATCTAAATATCAGAAGTAGACTGTCAAAACTTGGGGAATATAGTAAATAATAACCTTATTAACAAGCCAAACAAAAAGAAAAAGCCCAACCTGGTTGTAAATGAACATGCTAGATAAAAGGACTGCTAATGAAAATATTTGAGTGCTGTACGTACCCTGCCAAGTTTGCAAGATAAGAGCACAAATCAAAAGAACCAATCTATCTCAATAACCAATCCATTCCAACAACAAAATAAGAGAAAACAAACCGTTTGATCATAGGCATCTATTCCTTCAGAATCTAATAGCAAAAGGTTGTACTTGGTTCCATCAAGAGCAGTTCTCTTCAAGGGTGCACTCCACAACCAAAGGCCTTTTGTACACGGACGATGAGTTGGTGCCACTTGAAATCCACTACTCCTTCCAAGAAGCTATAGCACAAAAAATGAAATTAAATGCTGATAAAAAAATATATCAAACAAGCATCAATTGGGGAAAATATTTATAGGCAGATAACATTTAATGGTGATACCAACCATAACTCGGCAACCAATGTTTTACAAAATTAAGAATAAAAGGATACAAGATAACACATTTTAAATCACGGTCTCTCGAAAAGGATATAGAGCTGGTCAGACTTGTTTCATTCAAATAAGTTTTATAATAACATTCGCATGAAACTCCCGTTCATGGATAGAATATGTTCGCATTAGACACTTACAAGAGTTTCTCTTTACTCATTCTCGTTTATAGATAATTGCCTCTACCTAAGTTGTTTCTAGCAAGCATACATTAGTACTCAACCTTGTTAGGTTTATTTATCTAATCTCAAATGCACTGTTGGAAACTTAAATTTGATGTTGATAGTTTCCCATTATGAATATAATCAATGAAGGTTTCTACAAACAGCAAAATTATACCAAAATGTTCTACATTATACGCTTGGTCCCCTTCAAACCCTAAATTTGTAACATTTCTACTCTTAAAATCACAAACCACAGAATACGTTTATTTCGCCTATGGAAACACCTAAAGAACATAAATTTCCTCTAATCTATTTTCAAATCACGTAAAACAGGAAAAAAATACCTGATTCAAAATGAAGCTCTTGCCTTGACGAGCCCGGCCACAAACCGAAACGACTCCAATTGGTTCCTTAACAAGCTGCAAAGCAGCGACCGCTTCCGGATCCATCCTAAACCTCCCTTTCTCGTCGCAGTATAATAACCGTACAGGCCTTGCGGGACCGGTAACCGGAGGCCCTGACGCCGATGCAGACGCCGAATGACCAAACGACGGCGGCGACACATCAACGGCGGAGTCTTTTCCTTTACCAAAAAATTTCATCATCTTTTCCTCAGATCGTCCGTGGTTCACTTAATTTTCTCTCTAATTTCCCTTTTCCCTTTTCGCTTTTTCTTTTCTTTGATTTTAGTTTTAGATTCTTTTTTTTTTCCTTTTCTTTGGGAGACTGTTTTTGCAATGTTCTGTTGGGTTTTCGACTCCACAGAAAGATTCAAAATTTGGGGAGGGAAAAAGCGAAAGGGAACGTATCTGGCATCTGGGCCTTTGTTCTTATATTTATATATATAGGCGGTGAGAAAAGCGTTAATTTACGCTGATGTACGCGGTTTCTTTTGTTAATATAAATGTAGTGTATGGGTGTATTAGTCTTTTCTCATAACTTAATCTCTAATACTCTAACGGTGTGTTTGGTTCACGGAATGTAAGATTATCAGTGGGAATAAAAGATTACCAGGGAATAGGATTAGTGGGAATGTTGTATTTTGGATTTGGTTGGTTTAGCAGGAATGTGAGATTATCGTGTTTGGTTAAAGGAATAAAAGATTATTGGAATGTATATTTGACCAAATTGTTCTTATTATATATTTATTTTTTTAACAAGTTGGAAAATTTAAGGGCATTTTAGTCCAAAATGCCGGTAATCCAACAATACCTAAGGAAAGGGAGGTAATGACATTCCCGGTAATATACCCTAAAAAATCCACTATTGATAATCTTACATTACCGAGAATGAGATTCCCGAGCTAACCAAACGGGGGAATATAGATTCAATTCCCATGGAAATCTCACATTCCCCATTCAAACAACCCCTAAATGTCTACGTGCTAATAAAATTGCTTTACGGATTTTTCCTTTTTCTTTTATTTTTAGCTTCGGTATTTAAATTATTCATATTAAATTATTTTTTGTCAAATTAAATCTTTAAATTATTATATTTAATTTTTATAAGTTCTATTATCTTTTAGTTAAAAAATTATTTTTCGATCAACAAAATATCGACACGTCACAAAAAATTAGGTATTTATTTTGATTAAAAAATAGTTTAAGGGTTTTAAGCAAAAAAGAATCATAGTTTAGGGACTTATTTTAGTCAAAAAAATAATTTAGGTACTTAAAAATGATTACATATAATAGTTAAATCCTTATTTTGGCTTAAAAATAGTTTAGGAACTTAAAAAAATTTAAGGACTTAATCTAGTTTAAGCCTTATTTTTATACAATAGTTTATTCTTACCTTATGACTTCGATACTAATGAAATTAATTTAATCCTCAAATTTAAGAATTGGATGGATTTAATCCTTTGACTAATATTGATTGTTATTATGTTAACATAATTTTTAATGATACAGGCATAATTGTCTATTACGTTGATGCAATAATATCGACAATAAACGTTTCAAGTGTGGTACTAAGGGAGAGAAAGACACTAATGTCTGAACTGTGGTGCGGCTGGTTAGCAAATGAGATTGTGTATTCTGGGTGAACACGTTGATGGCTAAGTAAGCTTGGAAATATGAAAATGAGTGGTCGTGGTTTTCGCGTCGGCCAATAGTGCCTCGCCTGGGCGTTGGGACGAGTATGACGTTGTGCGAGCGGAAGTAGATGGATTTTGGATAAATTTGGGGATGATAATGTGAGGTTTCATAGAAGTGTAATGTCTCTTAGAAAGTTGGTAATGGATGGAAAGTGTTGGTTTTGGCCTGGTCCTTGGTGTGTGGAGGAGGCATTATCGAAGGTGGCTATTCGGCGTTCTGTGTAATAAGCTTGCTACTTGGCGTGTGGACGAGTCGACTAAAAATTTATATCCGGTTCGAATAATATATCGGACGTGTGGATAAAGAATACACATGCGACTTCAGAGCAAACACATGCATCTTCTTTGCTCAACACCAGCTGCTAGCTTCTGCATCATCTTCTTCAGTAAACATGATACATCAGATTAACTTGAACAAGTTGAAACTCAAAATGCATTCTTTTTTAATAGCAATAATCACACCCCCAGCAGGATGTCCTTCGAGTTATATATCATACCACAGAAAATGCAACATTTTTTCAAGCCAACTACTCTCCGAGTTGTGTGAAACTGGATTAACATTTTTAGATCAACACTCCAGAACCGAATACTTCAAGGTTTTGACACAAAATGCTCCGAAACAACAATATTTTATTGTTAATAGAAAATTAAAACTTCAGTGTTTAATCTCCACCGTCCACCAGCTGAATAATCATCCTTAAGTTTTAATCCTTTCTCCCCCATAATAAGCAGTCCTAGTAAAGTTACAGCTTTCCGATTGCACCGTTGTATCGTATTCATCGATCTTTAGAGACCCTGTAGATGGAACTCCAGACCAGCACTTCCCTGGCTACATTACAATGCAACATCAAAGACCATATCTCTGACAGCATAGAGGTTGCTTGCTTTGGTACAATTGCTTCCGACTGTGTTCGTCATTGATGGAGAATTCGGGTGAAACTGTTCTCCAACACGAGGTACAAAAACACCGGGAGCCACTGATAGAGTTGCTTGCACCGTGTTTTCTTCCTTGTTAGCATCACGTCTTCCCTCGGTCAAGGAGAAACCAAAAAGTCTGCAGCTACTTTTACAGGAGGAATCTAATTCTTGACTTGTCGTAAATTCTGGTTGACCTGCTAGACGTAGAGTATCACTGAACTGAACAGAATCAATTGCATGACCGAATCGATCCAAGCTTCCGAGATCCCTCTCACGGGAATCATGTTCACCAGTTGATGGAAATAGCTTTCTTGTTTGTTGGGACATTAACACTGAAGACGGTAAGGACACTTGCGCAGATGGCACATACTGCCATATACGACTATGAGGATTATACACCTGAATCGTGGAAGACAATCCACTTTTAGTTCCCAACAACTGGCCAGCGTCAGGGTGACCAAGACTGCCATTTTCTGGAGTCTCATCTGCAGCTGAACCTTTCTGATATCGAGGAGTTGCGAAAATTTCTTGACCTTGCAAGACCTTATGGAATCGGAAAGATTCCCCAAAGCCTACATTTTTAAAGGAAATATCAGGACTCACCAGTGGGTCGCCACCAACATTTCCTACTGCAGCAAAACTAGAATCAATAGAACCAGGAATGCAACGCCTTGTTTCAGACCGATGCATATTCCGAGTATCAGAAACATCATCAAGAGTGTTAAAACCAGAATTTTCTTGAACTTGCAAGACCTTCTGGGACCGGAAAGACTCCTTGAAGTTGGATACTCCAATTCCATCTGTTAAAAGAATGAAGGACTATGTCAAACACTGTCGTGTGATACAGGAAAGAGAATAAGTCCTGCATAAACACCTACCAGGAACCATAAATTCAGATTTTCCTACTCGGTTCCTTTTTGAACCGGGATTGAGCAAGCCATCAGAACTAGAAAATGAACCAGATGGCTCAATTTCCCAGGGAGACACCCTGCTATGCTTGTTGGCATCGATATCATCCCACCTTACCTGCAAAAAGAGAGCTATAAAGAACTATTGGATTAACTCTAGCAACTTTTGATAAAATTATCATGGGGCGTTTTTCGAGTCATTTCTAGCAGAGACAACTAACTAATCAGCAAAACCAAAGCATCCAAAAGCTCCACGAATTGACGAAATTCAATATTATATTTCATTTTAGTAGAAATATGCTTAACCTAAATATCTGGTGTCTGAGTAAGAGTCATCAGCAATACCCAATTAAAACAGTAAGCAGCACCAAACAAGGCCATTTTTTTGCCATGTTCATACAGGTCGAGGCCTAGTCTAGGGAGCATAGTATGCTGACTGCTCAGTAAGGTACACTAACTGGCTACTTCGAATAATAAGCAAGCAGTCACAAGTCAGAGAATTATTTCATAAAACCAATTATTAGCACGGGAACCATATCCTTTGAGATATATCAGCTTAACTTGGATGAAAAAGGATAAAAATGCTATGAGAATTATAAACTGTAATTGCTATTGTGAAAGGTTAACAGATACCCCTTTTTGCTATTGATAACCTTAATGTCAGGCCTTGACAGGAACATTATTATGACAGTACTATACGTTTATAACTTAAAGACAAACATTTTATCATGCATACACACATGTATATATAAATTCAGCCATACCAGCATACATCTCCATTTTGAACCAGGCCATCGAACAGGATCCATATCACTAATTCTAGTTACGACTCCCAAGTGTCTGCAGGAAAACATAAAATAAACTTAAGGCCTCCATAATGCATGGTAGAGTAGATCTTTCCTCCCCGCTTTAGTCTAAAGATCAAGTAGTTTAACTGAAGAGTTGCAGGTTCTATAAGGTCATACCTTCTTTCTGCATCTTCACCTTCAAATCGCATTTTGAACCTCATTCCAATAGAGAGGGAATGATCAAGACTCTTCAAAAAATGTATGCATGGGTATTACAAAATCTGATGAACTCGCCCTACTACACCAACCAAAATAAATAGTTTTAAGATCTCATCAAGAAAGTAGCCATAGAGAAGGATCTAGAGAAATTAGGATATACAAATTATAGCATACAAGAAGATTTTCCAAAAATAACATCAGTCTGCATATACGACACTAATGTCTAAAGATAACTTCTTCAAATTTCTTAGACATGCATTATTTCAACATCTCAAAATGATGTCTGAATAAGGTACGGTGTCTTTCAGACTTTTAAGTGAACACAATATTCAAAAAAACAACTGAAAAATGCGAGTGCAACAAACCACTTCAAAGTTAGAACCGAGTTTCTTTGTGAATATCAAAGCATGCATAGCTGCAAAAATAGAGCTAAAAACTAATATAGCCTTTATAATATTAAAATGCACAGCCGTATACCTTGGATTATAGTAAATGCTGAAAACACTTTTTATAGATATAGCATGGACCACGTCGGTAAAAGCGCTGCGGTTCAACAGCTGGCAACACAAAGATGGGAAAGAAGAGCAATTTTTAATTTGAGCAGCTCTTCGAATTCCCAGCCGGAGTTCTCCATCTTCGCCCCTGTTATGAACACTAAATAAGATTTCCTATTGGATTATTAACTAAAACTTCACACAAGGGGGGATTTCGAACCTCAGAAAAAGCACCGCATCTCCAGAGACGAGCTTCTTCTTATTCACAAAAGCACTCCATCCTGAAGTGAGTAGATGCCTCCTTGGTTGCCCTACTCAAACCGAAACTATCTTTAGCGATAAATAGAGAAATGAAAAGCTAATCAAGGCTGATCCACA